GTTGACTTTGATGGTCAAGAGTACGTCACCGTCTTCTTCATTACTTCGAAAATGAAACCGAGTACTAAAAACCTAGTCATAGTCCAGTAAACACAATCGTGAAACCATTACCGATCTAAAGCTATAGAAATCAGAATCCAAGGAAAAAAGGAAGGAATTTTCTCATTGTAGATTGAATTCCCACGAAACCCTCGTTTTTTGTTTCGCCAACTCAAGATTATTCCGACCACCAGTGGTTTTCCGGGCCAAAAAAATCAGGGTTTTAAGAAGTTGTTGTGTGCTTAACCGAGTGAGAAAGATGGAATTTTTAGGTTCATCTGAGTGCAATTTAGGGGTTTTAGAAACCCTATCTGACAATGAGATTCAGGAAATTACAGAATCCTACGATGGGTTTTTCACTACTGTTGAGTCTCTCATTGCCGGCACTGGAGATTCCTCAGTCGAACAAGAGTTCGTGTCTCATGTTTATTGTCTCTGTAAGCACGGGCTTGATTCTCTTGTTCGTGACCACTTTCTCCGATCACTCGAGGTATTCAAATTTCCTTGTTTCAGCATAAAACTTTTGATTCTACGCTTTTGGGTTAAGATTTGAGTCCCAATTTAGTAACTGAGTGGTGTAGAGTAACAATGGAAGAATGCTTCTTCTCTTATGATTTTGTGTTGGGAACATTTATTTGTTTCAGCAAGCTTTTGAGAAGAGCGGTGCATCGAGTTTTTGGCATCATTTTGATGCTTACAGCGAGAAGAAACATACTGTAAGTAGATTCAACGCTTGGTTGATGCCTTAATATTATGAAATTGACTGTTTCGTTTTTCGGTTCATAAGTTTTGATTAAAATGGATGCTTTGGGACAGAATTATGGAGAGGAGATTCATGAAGTGTTATGTAAGGCTTTGGAAGAAATATCTATAGAAAAGAAGTGTCATGAAAAGTGTCTGTCCATAGTGGTTCATGCTTTGCAGTCGTTTAAAGAACAGTCATCAGATGCTAAACAGAACTCAGATGCAGAAAACGTTCATCTTCTTTCGAGATTCCGATCAATGTTGTCTTCGACTCTGATGACTACTCTTCCTCAGCATTTTCCTGGTATACCCATCTTTGATTTGATTGTTTTGGAAGTTTTTTTTATATCTTTGCTACTTGTTTTGATCAAGTTCAATCATTACTCTCATATATTTCCTCTCTTTATTATGTTCTTAGAAATACTCCACTGGTATTTTAAGGAAAAGCTGGAGGAGCTAAGCGTAATCATGGATGAAGATGATATTCGAAAACACGAGAGTGACTGCATGGATTTGGACGAGAAGCTTAGAAATAAAAATGGAGAAATGGATGTTGATGAAGGTTATCCCCAAGGCAAATATTCAAGACATGATAAGTTGGTGAAGAACATTGGGAAGGTAGTTCGTGACCTTAGAAGCATTGGATTCACATCTATGGCTGAAAATGCTTATGCTTCCGCAATCTTTTTACTTCTCAAGGTATTTTTATCCATCAGAGATTTCATCTGCTTCACTGAGACTTATAACACAGTATATACAGTCAGTATACATATAATTCGGATCCTGTTTGGCAATGGTATAATACTCTAGGCAAAAGTGCATGATCTGGCTGGTGATGACTACAGGACGTCTGTTTTGGGGTCAATCAAAGAATGGATTCAGGTAGTTTTTTTTCTGCTTAGATTCTTACTTCTCCAAATTTGGAGTTTCCTGACATTTGTTTTCTTTTTTTCCAGACAGTCCCTCTTCAGTTCCTAAATGCGCTTCTTTCTTATCTTGGTGATTCAATAAGTTACAGTACCACATCTTCTGGCCTCACGTCCCCTCTGGCTTGTTGTCCATCACCAAGCTTTTCCAGAGTGGTGACTCCTTCTGAAGGAATTGTTAGGTGGAAATTACGGCTAGAATACTTTGCGTATGAGACACTACAAGATTTTAGGATAGCAAAATTATTTGAGATTATTGTTGATTATCCGGAGAGGTATTTTCTTTCTTTGACAGCACTTATTCAAATATATTGGCACAAGCTGAAATATCTCTGATGGCAAATTTGGTGATGCTACAGTTCTCCTGCTATTGAAGACTTGAAACAGTGTCTCGAACACACGGGACAACATTCCAAGCTAGTTGAATCTTTTATTTCTTCGCTGAAATATCGTTTGCTCACTGCCGGTGCCTCAACCAATGATATATTGCATCAGTATGTGTCGACCATTAAAGCCCTACGAGCTATAGACCCAGCGGGTGTATTTCTGGAAGCAGTGGGAGAGCCAATCAGAGACTATATACGAGGGCGGAAAGACACCATTAAATGTATAGTCACTATGCTTACGGATGGAAGCGGAGGGAATGCAAATGGTTCCGGAAACCCTGGGGATAGTCTCCTTGAAGAGTTAATGAGGGATGAAGAAAGTCAAGAAAATGTTGGTTTTGATGATGATTTTCACACTGATGATAAGCAAGCCTGGATCAATGCTTCTCGGTATCTTTTCTTTTGTATATTCTCTTGGTTTATCATCTTGCATGGCATTGGATTTGTCTGACACATTTTAATCTGCTTTGTTATCCTCAGTTGGGAACCGGACCCTGTTGAAGCTGATCCTTTAAAAGGTAGCCTCAGTCAGAGGAAGGTAGACATACTTGGAATGCTTGTTGATATAATTGGATCTAAAGAGCAACTAGTAAGTGAATATCGTGTTATGCTCGCTGAAAAGCTTCTCAACAAGACTGATTATGACATCGACTCTGAGATACGCACTGTCGAACTTCTCAAGGCAATCTCCATTTTTTCACTCTAAAGTTTATTTTGTCAATCTATAGGATCGTTTCTACAGTGTTTAATCTAACTTTACCTTATCTTATAATGCCAACAGATACATTTTGGAGAAGCTAGTATGCAAAGATGTGAAATAATGCTGAACGACTTGATTGATTCTAAGAGAGTGAACACTAACATTAAAAAAGCATCTCAAACAGGTTATAATTCTGAGTTCTGCTCAATTTTACCCTTGCAACGTAGATTCTTGTCTGAATCTCATATGTGTACATCCCTTGTTTATAGGCGCTGAGTTAGGAGAGAGTGAGCTATCTGTTGATACTCTTACCTCGACGATACTTTCAACAAACTTCTGGCCACCAATTCAGGTATACATATGTTCTTCTTTCTGATTTTTCATCCATTACATCGTACAACTATATATGAAGGGTATATAATTCACTTATATGGAGGAAATTTTTCAGGATGAGCCTTTAGAGTTACCTGGACCTGTTGACAAGCTGCTATCAGATTATGCCAATCGATATCATGAAATCAAGACTCCTCGTAAATTACTTTGGAAGAAAAATCTTGGCACTGTCAAGGTAGATCTCGTGTAAATACTTTAGTAGTGAATGATTGGAGAAAGCAGATACTGACAGATGTATCTCTCTAAAATGGCTTTGATGAATTCAGTTAGAGTTGCAATTTGAAGACAGGCCTATGCAGTTCACAGTCTCCCCTACACATGCAGCCATTATCATGCAATTTCAAGAAAAGAAAAGGTAACTACAAGAATTAATCAGTGTGGATGCTTTTCTCTTCCAGTGTTACTGAAATCATGTAAATCTTTCAGTTGGACTGCTACAGATCTTGCTACAGCCATTGGGATACCTATTGACGCATTCAACCGAAGAGTAAACTTCTGGATAAGCAAGGTACATACTGTAATTGTAGTCCTCTTGCTTTAAACCATTCATTTGGAGGAAGAGCTAACATGTAAAGTATCCTGAACGTTAGGGAGTTTTGAGGGAATCTACAGGAACAGACTTGAATGCCAATGTGTTTACGCTTGTTGAATCCATAACTGATTCTGGAAAGAACGAAAGCGAAGAGCTTTTAGCAGGTGATGAAGAGAGCGAAAGAGCGATTGCCTCTGTGGAAGACCAACTTCGCAAAGAAATGACAATATACGAGGTATGTGAAGCTGCTTGCGGGAAAGTTTCATTCTACTAATCAATTTGCCTCTAAAAATATAAAATATGAACAATTCCCAACATTGTTTTCAGAAATTCATCATGGGAATGCTCACAAATTTTGGCAGCATGGCACTAGAACGAATCCATAACACTCTCAAGGTACAATCAAAGTCATAAACCTCGCCGGTTTTCCAATGTTGTCTTGTTTATTATGATCAGTGTTGCTCTTTTTTTTTTTTTGGTAGATGTTCTGTGTAGCTGATCCTTCTTATGACAAGTCGCTGCAACAGCTTCAGAGCTTTCTTTCTGGTTTGGTCTCTGAAGAGAAACTAGAGTTTAGAGATAGTATGTATTTGGTAAAGAAGTAGAATTTTTTAACTTGTGTTTGGCAGGAACTATGTATTAAGATCCTCTCTTTTTAATGAAATGTCTAACATCAAAAATTTTCTGTCAAACAAACAAAAACAAAACAGTGCATCAAGCCAAATAATTACAAAGTGAGACAACTACCATTACCTTGAAAGCACAGTTGCAGAAGAGAATTTGGACATTGCTTAAAAGTATGTTTTTTTAAAACACATAATCACATCAGTCGTTACAAGTAAAAGTCGCATTCTCTCATACATAAAGATGCATTCTCATGTGGCTTTCCTTATTGTGGTGGAAGCTGAAGTTTCATAACTAATTTGCGGTGAACCAGTGACGATCTCAGGTTAATTTACGCATATTTATCTGCGATTTCCAAGAGAAGAGCACATAGTTCTTGAGGCTTGGAAAACATCGCCATATGGTCAGCATCTTTGATCTTCATTACTTCTTTCGGCGGAAAGTTGTTGATTATCAAACGCTGGTATTCCTCAGGTACTAAATTATCTTCTCCGCATATGATAGAAATACGTGTAACAGATCCATACCCTTCCTCAGTAAAGCTTATTATCCCTGAAAGATTTTCAGTAGCTAACGCCGGGTTTACCCTCACCAACAAGTTCGCCAATTCAAGATCCTAACACACGACAACAAATTGAGGTTACTAGCAAATCTCATTTGTGCTTGAAAAACAAGGTTTGGTTAGGCTTGGAGTCTTACTTCGACCGGAGACAATTGATATAATTTCTTGGCCATGAACTTTGGTCCGAAAAGGACATTAAGTAGAGGACGATCAGGTGTTCCGTAGGTGCTAAATACAGTGTCCAACAACTCTTCTGGTGGAATGCTCGGGACAAACTACAGAATTTACTCATATAGCAGAATCAGTCCAAGTGATCATACTGATTGAATCAATGAGAGCAAGTACCTTTTCAAAAGCGTAACCAGGCGGGTTTGTGGTGTCGGGCATCGTAGCTGTCAAGAAGACAATCGCAGCGATCTTATGAGGGAAGATATCGGCAGCGAAAGCAGCTGGTATGCCTCCCATGCTATGAGCAACAATAATCACTTTTTCGTCATCCGAGCCAAGCAAATCGAGCAATGGTTTGGAGTAATCTTTTACACTCTGAATCTCTTCCACTCTGCTCATGTTTATACCCGATGCAGCCAGATCAACTGCGGTTACGATGTGACCTGCAGCCTCAAGCTGCGGTATTACCTTGTACCAACACCATGCGCCATGGCAGACACCATGGAGAAGCACAAACCGCTTCTGGCTCTTGCTCATTGACCTTGTTTATATTCTCTGTTTTATACGAGTATTAAAGAAGAATCTTTCTCCAAACTCAAGAATCAAAACATGCATAGATTGAACTACTTTGTATCCATAATTTTGATTTCTCAGCGTAAGTAAACAGAAACCTTACCCCAAGAGAGCAGCAGTAAAGAGAGAGAGAAGAAGGTATAGACCTCAAGAGATCAGAAATGAAGATACTTTTTTGAAGAACGATAACAAGAGATGTGAGAAGCACGTGACTTGACTTGGATTCCCTCCGTTACAACTTTCATCAACTTCCACGTTTATCTTTATTATTATTCCTTTGAGCTGGCCAAAATATCCAGACCCCGAATCAAATCCGAACCGAATTACCCAAATTGAGTCCGAATTGATTTTTTTTTTTAAATTTCGAATTCAAACCGGAATTCA